TCTTTGAATTCAAGCAAAAAAAAAAAATCCCCAAAAAGTTACTTAGCAGTTACATTTCTCACTTAACATAAAAAACAAAACAAAACAAAAAAAACCAGTGACATTATGTTGTTTTGCAAACACGGAAGAAAAAGATTGACTTTTTTTTACTGGCTATTTGTGCACAAAACCACAGAGTCGGTTCTTGTGTGGGTCTCGCCCCGGAGCCAAATTGAGGCTGGATAAATAGAGTAAGGCGGTCAGATATAAAAATGGAGAAAATCTTATTCTATAATATACAAAAGAAAAGGGGACTGTGTAGGAAATGACTGGAAGTGAAAATGTTATGAAATATGAAAGACTAAGTAGCAGAAGAAAATTTGAATAAGTTAGGAGGGAGTTTTTTTTTCATGGATTTCACTATGGAAAAAAAAGACAAGGTGGATACTGAAAATTAAAACAATTGCACATAATTAAGTAAGGTGAGTCAGGGAGGGGTTATAGCTATGGCCTCACTGTGGCCGCAAAGAAAACAACTGCTCAAAAGGTCATTCTTCTCTCCATCTGCTGGAGATTTATTTTTGTTAAAATTGATCTTTTCTTTCTCCCCACTGTATTGTAAATGTTGACATGGTATTAATATTAACAGTACAGACATCCCTTCATTTTGAGACAAATTTATTTTGTGAGATTGGGCTACACAGAACAATTTGACCTGACTTGACTAAGCAAACCAGTTCATGTTTTCCAGTGTAAAATACACAGGAGGTATTTTGGAATGATGACTGTTATATAATCTAATGATAAAGTATCAGAAACAAAGCCAGAGTTTTCTCTTTTTCAATCAACCTCCAGCCTCGAAAGTTGAATTTAAATTGAAAATCTGGAAGGTTTTCAAGCACTTGTACAAACACGACTCATCTCTGGGGGGCGCCGTCCCGATGGATTGTCCTACGTCAAGGTCATGGAACACTTTCTCAGGATATTACTCACAGGAGTAACAGTAGTTCCTCAGTACACGACATCCTCAACCTCGACACCACCTTACGTACAAATTTATTAAGGTCTTGTTCACTCGTTCTGATGAGGCTGACAGCTCTGTTTACATTTGCCGGTGGCACGCCAGATTTTTTGACACTTTTTGCTCTTTATTACTGCTCACAAGCATTTTTTGCAGTGTCAGTGTTAAAATTCAGAGCAAACTGTGGAGGACAAAAATAATTCAACAGCACACTGCCAGTGTGGTCTTTATTACTGTCCACTGCATAGGTTTCATTCTCCAGTAGATTTTATGATATGTAACAATCAAAGCTATGTCTCTTGTAGGGACCAACCCACGACGTAAGTGGAGAAGTCTTGTTTATTACCTAAACTAACATTTGTATAAATGTAATTCTGCAGCAGTATATTTATAAATGCTCCACCTGCTGAAAACACTGAAGGCTAGGTTCATTCCCTGGTCGGTCAGTGGGAGTGTGATAGAAATAACTCAATTCGAAATTATAAACTGGTGTGTGAGACCCTTCATCCCTTCAGTCGTTGAAGGACTGTGAGACCCTGCGGTTTTCTAAACTGACACCCCCATTCTCCATCTCCCTTAAGTTTAGTCTTTTGGTGTTTCCTCCTCCCACCGCAAAATGCCCACTTCCTGTGGAGCTGTTGGTTTTGTGTGGTCCCAGCTCTGGCCCGGTTTTTTAATCACCCCTCTGATGGGTTACCCCCGGGCTGTCCTCGCACCTGCGCCGATCCCAGGGCCCTACAGGAATGCGCTGGGGCTTGTAATCGCCTTTGTGGGGGCCACATTGAGTTGTACGGCTGACTGAAACTTCCCAACCTTACAGTGTGCTGGCCGCTGAATGGGACTCAGCGTGGGGCGGCTCTCCAAAACGTGGCCACTGCCAAATTCCGACAGTGGTTCTCCACAATCACTCCCACACAGGCCCCCGATACACGGCCAGGCAGGAGGGACAGGAGGGGTGACGTGGGTCGGGATGTGAGATAGTATTTGTGTGTGTTTTGGTGTGTCAGCATTTAAGTCCAAGTTTTATTACCATTCCAACAAGTACACACACACACACACACACACACACACACACAGGTACACTAAGACATTTTGGGGATAAGTATTTAAGTTAGTATTGCTTCAGTTATTTACTTCAAATATACATGGTCTCGATCAAGTTGCTAAACTTTGTTAGTTTTCTACCTTTGTTTGACCCAAACACTGGGTCAGGAGCCACTGATGGGCCATGGAGGATAGTTTTTGGTCCTGAATAGTTTCCTCAGCATTATACCTAAAATGTTCTTTACATGCTTTAAATTCAAGGAAATAATACTTTAAATATTAAGGTTAAAATGTCCATTAGAATGACCACATCTTTGTTGATGATTCAACAGATTTAAAATGTCGCTCCTACTTAAAGGTTATAGAGACAGCTTTCCCTCATCAACATAATTCTGTTTACTTTATATTAACTGATCTCTGTCTCATTTATTAATTATAAAAGCAAATAACAGCATAATGAAGAATACATGGAAAGAATGTGTTAATATAGTTCAGGAAATACTACAGATTTTGGAGAGGAGTGAAAAAGTCTTTGAGAGGGATTGACTTGTTTGTTCAGAGGCCAAAAGGTCAGATTGTTGAACACTCTCTCAGTGTAGATCTGCGTTTAAACGAAGCTTGTTGTTTTGTACTGACTTTAAATTGTAAAACAGATACTGAAAATTCTCACCTCTTGTCCAGGAATCCATCCTCAGCAGATGCCACTTCAACCATGGATCGTTCTGAAAAGTGAACGAGAAAAGTATAAGAATAAAATATGTCATTTGACTCTGGTGCAGTTTTTTTTATATAAAATATAAAATATGAGAAATTGTCTGTAATTTCGTCTAACTGGAGAGAACATTGCTGCTGCGTTTCGGTGCATTGGCTGCTGTGCGCCGACACACAGTGGTGTGGTGGCTGTGGGTAGACACAGCAGAACCACTGCAGGATTAAGAGGCAGCAAGATTGTTAAACATGTCAACGTGTAATTGCACGATAAGGCCCTTCCGAGGAATTCATTGGCCCAGTTGCTTTCTCTATTCCGCGCTAATCTCACCCGGCACATTCGCTCTGTGCAATCTGTCTCCATAATCTTCTGTGACAGAGGAGCGGGCGACGAGAGCATGATGCAGGCTGCCTGGTAATTTTTTGGTGAGAGGGGGGACGGAGGTGGGGTAAGGGGGAGCAGAGAAAATATGCAGAGGCGTGATAAAATGACGCTAATTATCCCCATTTAGGACAGGGGAGTGCAAGGGATCGGGGCTTTGCGCGCATCTCGGGTGTGCGCCGGAGCTGATGTGGCCTCCGACTGGCGCGGGGAAGAACGGTGGCTACAAGATAAGAGGAAGAGTATCGCACGGTGGAGAGATTTATTGGGCCCGGGTCAGATGAACACACCATTACGCACGCGCGCACGCGCACACACACACACGGGGAGACCAACGGGCGCGCCATTACGCACCCAAGGATGAGCGGTGGCCGCATATCCCGTGCATGTGTGTGAACCACACCAACATCCCCGCTCACCGCTCCTCCAAACCTGGAGCTGTAATTTATGCGGGTTAAATTTGCCAGAACGCTCCTCTGTCTCTCCCTTTTTTTGTGGATGCGCCGTGACGTGCTCCGCCTCCCTGCGCTTTCAGGGGCTATAATCCGCATCTCTTCACATCAACAGATAAGATTGAAACAGATGCAGAACACGTGAGGAGGACAGACCCCCGCAACCTCCCCACCCCACCCCCCTGCATCCCTCATCCATCTCCATCCACTTTCTCTGTCTCCTTCTCTTCTGCATCTTCTTCGGATTTTTGGTGTTTAAACAGTTTGTTTTTTTCCAGAACATTGTCCCGCTGATTCCCTTCACTGCAGCCAGACCTTACATGGGGTTAATTGGTAAAACATTCAAGTCTTCATCAGTGGAAAGTGTGTTTGAGATGAAGTGATTTTTACATCTACACCTAGGTATTAATTTGTCTTCATCTGAATGTATTACTATGGACTTCAGTCAGTAAATCACGAACACGTCAGAACCGACTATTTGAAAAAAAAAAACAAGTCATTTTCACAGTCATAGAAAGAGGATTAATAATACAGTATGGATGACATGGGTATCAGTTAACAGCTATTTCTCCAGGGTCTTTTTTTTCCTTCTTCTTTTTAAATTAAAGGACACAAATACATCCCGACCATCTGGAGTTTCTAGAGAGTCATCACAATCCAAAGACTGAATCCAGCAGTGGTCAGTCTGAAGTTTGGAGTCAGCTGTGCAACAGTTTGGCCTCATGGATAATTCATTTACAGACAAGTTCTGCCACGGCCCATTTAACTGTCAGATTTATTTACTTACTTATTCCTTTTTAGTCGAACGCGCTGTTACAAAGGAAAACATATATTTTTACATTTGAACATAGAAAATGTGCCGCCTGCGCCTTTTGGTCGTTGCTGTTTTTGGAGAATGGATTTTTAAATTTCAGGTGAAGAGAATTCTTCCACTCAGAACCACATAATCTTGATTAATAAATATGGTCAAAGAGGCCTAAACACGTCTGTTTAATTACTTTACTTTAAGTCTTTAAGGCGCAGGATTTAAAACTTGCCGTCGATGGTTATTAAATAATAATAATAAAAAGAACCACAAAGTCATTAAATATATATAATTTACTTTTCTACCTACGAACGGGGTTTGATATTTATTATCAGAAAATTACGACTATTTTTTTCCAGCACCGCAACAAGATGTGAATCCGATTTAAAATATTTGATTTGTAATTTTAATTACAGGCCAATTTTATGTGATTCAAAATGAATCGCAAATAATTCCCTTTCATATATTAAACATTTTATTTATGACACTAATTTTAACATTTGAAATAAAGGGAGATTCCTCAACTTTGACCTATTCAGAGTAAGAAAGATGTCACCAAATTAAAATTAAAAATATAAGGCAGCCATTTAATGACATGAAACCGTTGACAAACACAGGCGTTATTCTTATTATACGATGTATATTATTTTCTTTTTTTAAAAATTGCTATGTTGTCGAATGTTTCGCAAAGCTGTCATATTTTAAAAGTTACTTTAAGAAAAACAACAGTAATATTGTGTACAAATTGACATTATTCATCTTAAATAGTTACATAAGCAGAACTGTGTCAGCAGTTTGTTAATATTTTCTTCCTGTCATAAATATTATTCATATTGTTACAAAGTATTTAACAGACTTTTTTTTCATTTCTTTTGTTTTCTCAGACGCCAGTGATGTGAAGGTACATTTTCGTTAAAACATACCAGACAATGATACATAAATAAAATAAATATTGGCCCCTGGACCATCACCTCAGTGAGCATGTTGTCCATAAAGGCCTACAAACTCGCTTTTACGCACAAACAATTAGGACAAAGATCATGAGATCTGTTTCCAGCAACTGTGAGAACATTTAGCGGCAGTTTTTTTAAAATATATTTATATATAAACGCACCATAAATAAAAAGAGACGCTGAGGGTAAAAAGATCAAGTTAAGACCCCTGGTTTAAGAATCAAAGCAACATTTTGTGAAATTTATTCAATTCTTCTTCATTGCAGTATCAGGGCTTTTCAGTTCGCAGAAAAGCACTTTAAATTACAACAGCAGTTGCCCGTCATCATTTGGAAATATTAAAATTATTCACAATTTACAATAATTAGAGTGTTACAATAAAAAGAGATTAAGACACAGGCCTCTGCCATTGAACACAAATGCCTAAAGAGTGTGATTATCTTTGAAGCACTTTTTTCTCCTTATGATTATGACACGTTTTCTTATTTTCAAATAACTTACAAGAAAAATAAAATGACGAGACAATGGAACCCAAGTCTCCCAGGGGGAGACTGAAGTAAGAGAGTGTGAAGTGATGAACAAAAAGGATGGAGCACAATAACCAACATCTCAGCATCATAGTCGTTTTTATAATTCCACTGCTGGGTATTCGAGACGGAGGGAGAAAAGAAGCTGAGATGAATTTGCTATATTTACCCTTCATTTACAGGATCATAAACATTCTGTACAAAATGCAGGTAGTTCTCGGGAGCTGGGGGGCTTATTTAGAAAAGAGGTAAATATTTGGTTATGTGTTCGTTTTGCAGTTTTCCGATGATTCTGTCACTTCTAAATGTGTGTTAGGGGGACCGTCCCGTTCACTCCAGCCGCGGCGCTCTGGTAGTGCTGAGGCAGGGCATGGAGTCTGCTCTGCATGGCCGGGTCCCCTGGCTCCCCGGTGGGTAAATACATGCTTATCATCTCTCTCAAGTCTCCGGGGCAGGGGCCCCGAGTGTGTGTGCCGCTGACGGGGGGGCTTACGCTCGGCTCTGACTTGACCAGTGAGCCTAACGTCCCCATGGCGCTGGAGGAGGAGGAGACGCCGGAGCTCTGGTGCTGCGTGTAGGTGAGGCTGCCGTAGCCAGAGGGAGACGCGCTCATGTAGGTCTGAGAGTTCGAGATGGGGCTGTACTGCAGCGCCGTCATGTCGTAGCGGTGCATGGGCTGCGGGTTGTGGGAGTGGTGATGATGTGCGTGATGGTGGTGATGGTGGTGCGCCCCGCTGCCCGGGTGCTGGCTGTAGGCGAGCTGAGCCTCCTGCATCATGGCAGCAGCCGCCGCCGCCGCAGCCACCTGCCCAGAGTACGCACCGTTGGCCCAGCCGTTCATGTGCGCGTAGCCGGAGCTGGCCGTGCCGCCGTGGCCCCCGGGGCTCTCCAACCTCTGCCCGACCCCCGACGAACTCATGCCGACCCCTAAACCAACTCCGCCGCCCCCGCTAGGCCCGGAAAGCAGTCCACCGGCCAGGGAATATTTGTCCTTCTTCAGCAGGGTCTTGGTCTTCCGTCTCGGCCGGTACTTGTAATCCGGATGCTCCTTCATGTGCATGGCCCGCAGTCGCTTCGCCTCGTCGATGAAAGGTCGCTTCTCTGACTCGGACATTAACTTCCACTCGGCCCCCAGCCTCTTGCTGATCTCGGAGTTGTGCATTTTGGGGTTCTCCTGTGCCATCTTCCTCCGCTGCCCGCGGGACCAGACCATGAACGCGTTCATCGGTCTCTTCACGCGGTCCTGGTTCGCTTTGGAGCCGCTGTTTGGCCCCGTTTGTCCCGCGGTCGTGTTCGTTTGGGGGCCGGGGGAGTGGAGGTCAGTTTCCATCATCATGCTATACATTCAACTGCCTTTTAACTTCACCACCACAGAGGAGAAAAAAAAAAGTCTTTTCTTTTAGACGAGTCTAGCGCGCACAACGGTCTGGTGCGCACCAGTCGGCTGGTCGGAGAATTAGTGATCTAACCCCAAACGGATCAAAAGCAAAGTTAAAAATAATCCAAAAAGGACGTCAAGTGTTTTTCCAACCAGAATTTCACGCTGTCTTCGCCTCGGCTGGATTCACGTCCACTGTGATAGAATGCGCATTTGAGCCACTTTCCCTAAGTCGGAGTTGAGAAGTTGGTTAAAGCGGCGGCCATATGATGCGCACTGACAGCGGTTAAATGAGCCACAAGCGGCCAATGAGGCTCCAGCAGCAGAATGATTTGCATGGCGTTTGGTCAGGTGACTAGAGGACTATGGGGGAAGAACACGCACGCCGGAGAAGGAGGAGTAGGAGTAGGAGGGGGAAGGGGAGGGGGAGGAGGGTCAATCCCCACAAATAGCACAAGGCATTTGAAATTTCCAAACACCCTCTCAAAGACTTTCAACTAAACAGAAATAACTAAGATTTGTTAGCCCCGATGCAGCGGCCAAACGGGTGGGGTGGGGGGGGGGGGGACTAGTGTATAGAACAT